GAGATTAAAAAGTAGAAATTATGACATAAAACATTATAATTACGAGATAAAAAGTCAAATATATTCAGATAAAGACATAATTAACAGATTTCTCTTTTTTTAAGTTTGAAATATGAGATAAAACATTATGACTTTAAATCTCAAATTAAATTTTCCACAGGGATATTTTTATTATCAAAGCTGACTTTTAATCTGTTTTATGTATTTTTTATTTTACTGGCTTCCATAGACTCAAATTGACCATGTAACAGAAATACTGTAGAAAAATCAAGTAAAGTAACACTTCCACACAGACAGAAGAAAGCCTTAACCAATACTAGACAGGGAATTGTTGTTTGATTAACACTGGCTGTAAAAAACACTCCTTTATGTAGCCTTATCTAATCTTTAATTTGACTTTTGACCTTTCAGGGACTTTCCGACGCCATGTGAAGGCAGCAGCGCGCAGTATGAGACGTTCAGACATTGACAGTATCAGACACCAGAGGGCGATATGACCCATAAATATAACTCATAATGACTATGAGCCTATTGGGGTTGTTTACATTTGATCAGTTTTAATTATTTATACACCTAAATCAGTGATTCATATCAATAAAGCTCCAGATCCAACCTGAAAACACCTGCGAGGAGCCTTTAATCCAAACCAACGCATCATATTTAATAAATTGATCTCGTTTTATATGTAAAATCAAATTAGCTGGTAACTAAATGTCACTACTTCTGGTGAAGGATACAGTATCTCTCTCTCTATGAAATATAGTGGAGTATGAAGTAGCATATAAGCGCCTCAGAAGTGTACTTAAATACTTGAGTAAATGTACTTATTCATCCGTTTAAATTGTGAACTCTTGTGCTGCTGCTAAATCAATCGTGACCTGACGCAGTCACAGGATGGGATTAACTCATCATGCTTGTCTGATAACACGAGTGTTTTCCTGTGTCAGGTAGAGATTTCCATTACATAAAACCATCCCTTTATGTCAGAAACACATCATTACATGCAGGTGATCGCTGTATTTGGGCAGCTTCTCTTTGTTTGTACTCGTATTACCTCATCAGCTCTTTCTCCAGAAAGAATTCAGCCGGTGCTAGTATCCACACGCTGAATGAATTTGTCGAGGGAGAGAAGACTTGTTGAGACTTGACAAAAAACATGAGGAGGGGAGAGGGGTGCTTAAGCATTTTAGTGACACCTCAGGGAAAAATAAAGACAGAATAGTTCAACGCTTATTTCAGTTGTCATTTATGGAAGGGAAAAACAGTCAGCAAAGTACAACTTGATAGAGGGCTTTTATTTAAAAAGTTTATATTATAAAATGTAAAAATTCAGCTAAACCCGATCGCATGGATTGCAAAGACTTATCCCTTAGAGCTTCCAAGGTGCTGCCACTTCACATCTTAACATGACAGAAAAAAAAAACATTTCACAACCTATTTTTTCTCCTCATTTGAGATGTGTACATTTGGCAAAACTGGAAGTTCACAAACAAAAACAAAAAAAAGAGAGTGGATAGTTATTGCTTTGGTTTGTTTAAAATGGGGGTTTATTCTGGAGAAGTTGAGACATGCAGCACGGTGATCTAGCTGACAGAAGAGACGAAGAGGGTGGAGGAAGGGCTCTTTAATCGTCCTTATCCTTGGCACCGTGCTTTAGGATGCGTGTGAACTCCACGTAGTTGAAGTTGCTTTTCTTGTCAATGGGAGCCTCCCTGAAGAGCTCGTCCACCTCCTCATCTGTAAACCGGTCACCCATTGTTGTGAGCAGCTCTCTGAGGTAATCTTCCTGGATGAAACCTGGGGGAGGAAACCAGTGAAATTAGATAAGACTCAGACAGCCTGAAGAATTTACTCCTAATGGCAAAGAAACAATCACCCTTTTAAGTCAGGCAACTTCTTTTCTACTATTGTACATTAACCCCTTTCAAAACAGTTCAAATCAAAGTGTTATATATTAAGAAAAAGGGGGAGGAAAGACTACAAACAGCGAAATAAAACAGTTAAAATATGATTTTTAAAGGTACTTTCTTATCCGATGTGACTGAGAAACTACAACTCACCTGTTCCCTCCTCATCGAAGCAGGCGAACGCGTTTCTGATCACATCCTCGGGGTCCGTGCCATTGAGCTTCTCCCCAAACATGGTGAGGAACATGGTGAAGTTAATGGGCCCGGGAGCCTCCATCATCATGGCCTCCAGGTACTCGTCAGTCGGGTTTTTCCCTTTACAAAAACACAGATACGGCGCACTTAAAAAACGAGCCGCGGCGGCTTTGCGCAGTCCGGTTCAGTTCACAGCCTCTTCGTACTCACCCAGAGAGGCGAGCATGTCGTGAAGGTCCTCCTTGTCCACGAACCCGTCCCGGTTCTGGTCAATCATGTTGAAGGCCTCCTTGAACTCCTGAATCTGAGACTGGTCAAACATGGCGAAGACATTGGAGGTGGCGCGCTGGGGGCGCTTCTTCGTGGTCTTTCCCTTAGCCCGTTTGCTCGACATTTTGACTGTTTTATACCTGTGAGAACAAAACAATACGCAGGTTAGACCACACACACACACGATGACACGACGTTTTCTTATCTTACTACAGTTATTTGACACTTCGGGACTTAACTTCACGAGCTACAGTGACGCAAAGCAACTAAAGCAGAGACAGCGCAGCAGAAAATGACAAAGTATAGGCTGGACAAACCCATGAAACACGATCCGATAAAAGGGATCGCGCTGCTGTTGCTCAAAATAAGATCTGGCGATTGGTGCCCACAGCTCGGTGGCATTTTAATTCAGCGATCCCCTGTGTGGTGTCCCTCACTGAGCTATAAATGGAAATGTTCCTCATCTTTCTAGGTTGATCAGCTCACCGGCTGCACTTAAGGGCAGGAAAGTTACTGATGTGAGGACAGATGCCCTTATCGGGAAATGTCTTGAATGTCGACTAAAACCGTCCTACGCTCGGACCGACGTGGACATCCAGTGTCATCTGGACAGAGGCAGATATGTCAGCCTATATGGAGATATGGGGAGATGTTAATTAGACACTGGGATCATAAAAAGGCTCCGTGATATAAAAACTATTTGAATTATCTGAGTTAATGCAAATAACTCGTTTAATCTGATGAGTTAAACTTAACTTTTAACTGCTTATTTGTTTGAGCAAAGCAAAGAAAAGCAGCACATTCAACAGTAAATGACTATAAAGTGTGCAGGCAAACTTTAACACATTAACTGAGCGTCTATATCGTTGAGGGGCAATCACTGGGTATCGATTTACTGATCGATTTACTGATTGATTCATCAATAAGGATCCAAAAGCTGCATCAGTGCTCAGTGTTTGAGTCAGCAACGTAAAAAAATGCATAAAAAGTGAAAGTATTTAAAGATTTAAAGCACTATAAAGGTTTAAATAAGTGTTATATATTGATTTTTGGTTTTCCCAATTAATAAAACCTTCTCGTGACGTCCGCTTGTGTTGCGCACTTTGCAAACTACACAAGATTAATTAACATTAACGAGTCGTTAATTAGTTAAAAACAAAGACCTGCTCTTAATATAACCCCTAGCACGTTTTAATGAATATAAAATAAGTAACTTTACGCAGTATTTAAGGGTAATTAAAAAGGTCTGCGGCCTACTTTAAGATCAATAACCAGACTGCGTACAGCTGTGGATGTTCGCCAACGAGCTGCGGGTGAACACACACACTCTTCACAGCTCAGATTATCAATTCATACAGCCAAACAACCAGCTTCACCAGCGCAGAATCAATAAATCCGATTATTGGCAGCCGATTGGCGTCATCATTAGATATCGAGGCGTTAGCCGCGGAGCTAGAGTGTAGGCAGTGGAACCCGAACATTAAAAAAACGTTCTCTTTTAAAGCTGTAATTTAGATTATTATAACCATCGGACTGTTATCGCCGTTGTGTGTCCACAGCAGTGTGTTTGTAATGTAGCTCACCGCGGGAGACTGAAATGTAGACTTTAAACCAGTCTTACCTGACAACAACACGATACTGCTCAGCTAGCCCGCCGCTGCTCTGCTTCTCAACCACCGCCCTTCACTTCCTCATCATAACGTTGGGTGGGCAGAACAAACCAACGGAGGAAAATAGGGGGGTCGGGCAGTATGAAATCATTGTTTCACGCTTTTAAAAACAACTCGTGCGTTAAATCGGTCTGGATGCTATAATATAGGAAGGCTTTATTCATGTTTGTTCGTAAACAGATCGAAGCGTTTTTATAAGTAGGAGACATAAAATATATGAGATACCTTCACACCCCCCCGGTGGAGTAAATGTAACTTCCACAAACACTCCCTTGCCTGCGTTGACATTCCTGGATATGCCCTTATAAGGGAAGAAAGAAAACAAAGTCCTTTACAATGTGCAATTTAAAGTAAAGATTAAATGAAGCCTGTGGGAAAACTAGATAGATAGATAGATAGATAGATAGACTTTATTGATCCCAAGCTTGGAAATTG